CTGTGTGCCCACCAACCAGCTCAACAGGGAGATAAACTTTGATTCAAAGTCAACTGGAAATTATTGGGCTCTTTCTGTTGGCCCCAGTTGATCGTGGATTAGTTGACTACTTCATTAATACCTTGCAGATGACTTCAGGCTGACTGCCTCCTTGTTAACCAGGGGCACAGGGTGAAGGTCTCCCAGGCTCAGCCTGGACTGGTTTCCAGGGGGAAGCTCCCTGAGCTCTTTTCTCAGCACAGCCCCTCCCACCTGGCTTAGCTTGAATATTGTCCCAGGATAGTGCAGGGGTGTCAGACTAGCACTTAAGGAACTGTGTCATTTAAACTGCATCTTGTGAAGAGAGTGGTTCATTTGATGGGGAATTTTCTTTAATAGGTGCCTTTAAATTACATGCAAGGGGGAAAAAAAATCAGTGAAGTCTGGTGTAGTGTAATTTAATGCTGGGTTAAACGATGCAATCCAATGCATTTTCATTAGATGTTCTGAGACACTTCTTTAGCATTTCTGCTCTAAAGGCTGTTGGATTGCCAGCTGCAATAACTATTTTGATTGCAGCCTGAGCTGATGGTGGGCATCCTACCAGAAAAATAATGTGCTCTGTTTTAATTATGGCACCTCCACTCCAGAACAGGAGCCTGCGTCACAGAACGTGACACACTTGTACTTGATCCAGTGGAACAGGAAAATGTGCAACAGATGGAGGGAGAGGCATTTGCCAAGGGCCTGAGGTGTGGGCTGGTGCTGTTGTTCTAGGGCAAAAGAAATGTTTGCTGGTGAGTTGAACCTGCCGAGCAGAGCAGTCAGTGGGTCCCTGGTGCTTGACTCCTTTGGTGGGTGGATGGGACATGTTGCCATTGGGAAGGATGTTCTAGCCTTAGGGAAGGTGGTGATATGACCCAGATGTGAGAGAACTGGGCTCCAGGAGGAGGGGAGAGCATCACAGAGATGCCAGGGGATGGGCCACCCTTGAGCCTCAGCAGCTGCTGATGTGCTGAGGGGTTTTAGTGACCTCAGTTCTAGCAGAGCTGTTCTGGGGAGCAGGCTTTGCTGTTCTGCCTCAGATGGGGAGCCATGAACCAGAAATATTTGCAGTGTTAGAGGCAAACCTGAGGCAAAGAATGAAGAAGGATGCAAATTGAGTAGAGGATTTCTGTGTTGATTTGTTTTGGTGTATTGATTTTAGCTGTACTGTGAAGCAAGGGCAAGCTTATGAAGTGGCATTTCTGGCATTGGTTTAGTTTGGTTCCTCACAGTAGGAGCAGAATTAAGCCAATGAAAAACACATTGAAAAGCTCACACATTCAGTGTTGGCTCCAAGCAATTTAAGGGGATAATCACTCAATAATCCATTTGGCCAGAGGTACAGAAGAAATGGAAGATGATTATTCGTGCTGTTATTACCACCCTCACCTTCTTGTTATGGCCCTTAATAAAAACAAGGAACAGAGTTTACTGCTTTTCTTTCTCATTAGCATTTATATTTTTTTATTACTATACTAAATAACAGTGATGTCAGAACTGCTGTTTCACATATGAGGCCATTGGGGAATGATTTCATATTCTGTCTGCCATCGTGTTCATCCCCATGCTTTAAATTTGCCTGGGCAGCAGGTTTAGGGAGGAAGGCATGAGGACAGTTTTACCAGCCAAGCTGTCCTGCCAAGCTTGGCTGTTTCTGGGTCTCTGGAACAGGAATGCTGAGGTTTTACAGGAGCATAAGCCTGGTTAAATCATTGCTGCTTCAAGAGGATCTTGCCTGTGCTCTTGCTTGGAGAAGACCAGGACATCAGAAGGAGGAAAAAATTTCAACTGTGTGCATTGATTGAAGGCTCAAGAGGAGGAATAACTTTTATTTTAACTGCAGCAGCTTCCAGTAAGGAATGGAAGGAGTTTAATCTCATTTCTAGTGCAGCTTTTCACTGCAGGAGGAGACAGGAAAATCGGTGGCACAGAGGGTAGGAGTTGCACTATAGCTGTTCTTCTTATTGAAGCTGCATTTCTGCCTTCCTTTGGAATAAGCTCAGTTTTAGCACTAATAGGGACACTTTTGATCTTCTGTGGGCAGAAAGGCTGTTGGATCTGAAGGGGAAGACAATGTTTGGTCACCTTTTTTTGCTGTCAGGCAGCCCATTTTCTTCTGCTTGTTCTGGGGACACCAGATAGAGACAAATGAATACCTGAAGTTGAGGGCCTGGAGGGATGTTTTGGGTTTTTCAGGAAGCCCAGAGGTTCTCATGAAAATTGTCTTTTCAGCCACCACAGAATCTGTAGAAAGACTGAAAAGGAACCCTCAGTTACAATTTCATGCCCCTATGCACAAGCCAGCCCTTGCTTTAAAGGCCCTGTGACTAGAAAATACAAATACATGCTCAAGGCAGGGCTGTTTCATATAGCACTTAATTCCTATTGACTCCTCTGGGACATGTGCACTTGCTTAAAGGCAAAAATATTGCCCTGAATGAAGAACAACATCTGCAGAGTGGGGTTCTCCCAGTGCATGAATGCATGTGAACAGAATTCATGATGCAAAAAGCTTAATTCAGAGACAACAGACCTACTCTGGATATTAAAAGTAAAGCCTGCTGTTAACTAATGGCTAGATAATGAGAAAGCTTTGTGTGGTGATTAGATAGGAAATAAAATGACAGGTTCTGTTGTCCACTGGATGTTTTTATTAAAACTGGTCTGTGCATTTCCTGGATTTTGCATGCATGGAGGTTTCAATAGGCCATTTTAATTGAGCTGCAAAGTCAATAAAAGCTATGGCACTTCCTCAGTTCTGAGCACAGTAAAAAAAACTATCCTGAATCCTTCAAAATTCTGGAACCTTTTTTTTTTTTAAAAAAAGGGGAGCAATTACTTGTACTTCCAACTTATACAGACAATGGAATTTATGCTGAGATTGGGTAAATACTTCTTTGCTGACATTAAGACTTGACTGCTATCATTGACTGGCAACTGCCTGAACTTTGCCAGTAACTGGAAATTTTTCTTTAATAAGGTTCTCAGGCAGAGCATGTCAGCTCTCATTAGTGTTTTTTTTTTTTAATAAACAGGAGCAATTACTTGTACTTCCAACTTATACAGACAATGGAATTTATGCTGAGATTGGGTAAATACTTCTTTGCTGACATTAAGACTTGACTGCTATCATTGACTGGCAACTGCCTGAACTTTGCCAGTAACTGGAAATTTTTCTTTAATAAGGTTCTCAGGCAGAGCATGTCAGCTCTCATTAGTGAGAGTACAATCTGTTTGAAATAATACTTAGGTTTGCTAAATCAGGGCCAGAGTGAAAAGAGTCAGGAAGCTCATTTGATGTCCCTGGAAGTTGCCATGAAACTGGTGCCTGCTTAAAGGAGAAGCTGCTTGGGCTGGAAATTGTGGTGTGCTAGTACCTGACCCCGTGGCCAGAGAGGGGATGGTGGCCCTCAAAATTAAGGAGCTGGTTTTCTTCTCTGGGTACTTTTTTCATTCCACGTGATACATGAGGAGAGGAAATACTTTGAATCCAATATGTACTTAAATGTATTTCTTAAGGGGTCGAACTGCTTTGTATCATGAGTGGTCATTTGTCCTCTCCAAAAGAAAGACTAGTTGCTGTATAAAAGATGTGGAATAAACCTTTGAGTGTGTGTGTAAGAAGCTTTATACTTTCTTACCAAAGCCTGTTTATCTTGTGCTACTTGTGTCCCTGTGCCTGGATGCTGCCCTGTGCCAGTGAGTTCCCCCAGGCACTGCTGCTTCTGCAGGTCTGTACCAGTCTGCTGTTGGGACAGTTGTCAGGCAAGGGGATTGCATCTGAACTTCTATCTTTGCTAATGGCAGGCAAGAATTAATCTGTGATTGCTTTAAAACAAATGTTCCTTATTTAAAGCTATTACTTGAATCACCTTAAGTTATAAGGAGAGGGCTTGTAAGTTTTAAAACTAATTGTAAGATGTGTGCATTAGCTGTTCTTGGGCTGTGTCAGTGCTGGATCAGGGATTTAGTATTTGGGATCTAATAATGCCAGCTTAAAATCGACACCAGAGAGACTTTTGTAATTAAATTAAGTTGTCATTTAGCTCTAAGTCCTCAAGGCAAGTGGGTGGGAGGGCAGCACCCCACGGGTTCTGCAGGGCTGTCTGCTCTGCTCCCTAGACTGGTTCCATTTTTATATAGTTCTTTCTGCTCTGGGCATGTGTCTGTATGCTAGGCAGTTACTGCAATCCATCTGCTAGATCATCTCGTGCAAACGATTTTGTGTCTGTGGGCTTTGATTTTCTCAGCCAGCAACGAGGTGTAACCATCACAATCCTCACTGTGGTGCTTATTAGGTACTGGGATGTAGGATGGAAAGTACTATCCTTGGGATTGTTCTTGCAGGGACAGTTGAGTGGGGGTTGGGGAGGATTCTTGGAAACTTCAGACCTCATCCACTGTGAAGCTACAGAACAAATACTCCAAGGACAGCCACCCTGATGGGCTTTTAATTAATTTGTGACATCAGGTTTTCTGTCTGCTCTCCTGCCCTGCTTTGGCTTGTGTTCTATTGAATGCAGTTTGTATCATGCTGCCTGCCTGATGCCTTTCCTCCAAGGTTCTCAAGATGAACACATCTTGAATAAAGTCTTGGGTTCACTCAGCAACCTGAAATATTGCTCCCTTTTCACGGATGGGGGGAGTTGTTCTGCAGGGCTCAGTGGCTGCTGCCAGACACAGAGCTGGGGTCAGGGCTCTCAGGGAACAAGGTGTGAAGCAGATCAAGTGGTTTAAAATTTAGTCCATGAAGAAATATATGAGTAGTTGTTGTGGTAAACCAGAAGGTGTTAAAAGCCCAGAGTGGGTTTGCCCATAGTTTGTTGCAGTTGTTGAACTGAGGCTGTACCAGCCTGGTTTCAGCAGCTCTCTCTCCCCTTCAGCTGGTGCTCAGTGGGCCTGGGGCAGCTGCCCCACTCTGCCCTGTGCTAGCAGGTACAAAGCAGCAGTGTAACCTTCCTCTTGGTTTCTTCCAGGTTAACGGGTTTCCAGCTGCCTGCTCCTATTGTGAGCACAGGGGTCGTGCTGTCCCTGTGGCTGGTGAGTGACTATGCAGTCAGTGCCCAAGGCTTCCAGGCAAACTATGAAGGTAAGTCTGCCCAGTTGGTCATTGTCTTGAATTGTGTCCACATTTGGCTTATGGTAGGATGTGAAACTAATGCACAGCCTTTATACCAAGAGACATACACGTGCAGACACTTAATCCAGGTGGGAGTACCTGATTCTTGTGTAATTTGATCAATTTTTTCAGAATTCAGATCACCAATTCCTTCCAAGTGTGGTGGATTTTTTTCCCCCTCAGCATCTGTACTTAAAACATCTTTGAAAATGATGACAGCAAAGCTAGAATGACTGAGAAGGAAGGGCAGTGTGGGATTTGACAGTGGAACCTGCAAGGGTATAGCAAACAGAGCCACTCCTACAGCTGGCAGTGGGGAGTGCAGAGCAGTGCACAGGATGCTCAGATTACTGCATTTTTCCTTTACCTTCCCTTGTTTTTCTCTTCCCTTCACCTTCCTCCCTGAGTATTTCAATTGACCTTCTGTATCTCTTGTCAGAAATAATGTCCAGTGTTTGGTGGTTGTGGAGATAAAGGATTGTATGGGAAGGCTTGGTAGCTTCAGAAAATCTTGGCTCCCTAATGCTGGAAATCATCAGATACATGAAAGAACAGTTTATACAGGAGGGCAGGTGATGATTGCACTGAGCTGGTGCTGCTGGGCACGTGGCACACGAACCATTTTAAAGTTTGAATTAGATTGATGTTGATTATTGAACCCAGAATGTTGTTCCTATCCCCAAGCGTGTTTTTCTTCAGAGTCCTTAAGTTCTCAGCCTTAATGCTCATTTTGGAAATGAATCCTCCTGCACAATTACCCAATGCATTAAACCAAGCAGATGCCTTCATTAGATGATGTTTGAGTCTCCCAACATTTTCTGCGCTTGACGGTTGTTCAGGTTCAGGGGAATTCTGCTGAAATACCCTCTTAATTTCTGATTTAAACCTTTGCTCTGCCCTGAGGCAGCACTGGTACCGAGAGACTTTTACTAGTCTGAGTGATCAGCTCGTTATCAGGTGTTCAGGGTGACCAGGCAATGGTGTTCCAGGTAATCCCACAGGGAGCCCCTGCTCCAGTGGCTCCCAGGGTCAGTGCTCACTGGGGCTGCTGGGGGAATGTCCAGCACAGCAGGTGCTGAGGAAGGGCAGAGCCTGAAGCCTCTTTGCAAAATCTCTGCTAGAAAGTGTGTGAGTGACTGAGTCCAGCAGACATGACAGTGCATCACCCCCAAATTGGGTGGTAAAGGACACGTAGCTGGTTTTGTACTTTTCTGACATTTAGAGTTCATTTTTTAGCATTTACACACAGTTACTTGTACACTTGGTGAGATTCTTTTCATTACCTTGCTGCAGCAGGTAATCTTGTACAAAGGCTGGTGCCAGGGCTGCCCTTTAGTCACATCCATTTGAAGTTTGTTTGTCTGGTGATTAGGAAGCTTTAAAGCAGGTAACCTGAGTGAGTCTCTGGGGGGAAGGGGGGAAGGAAATAAAGCTGAATGTGAGTGACACAGAGAGCACTGGTGTAAATGGAAGTTATATTTTGAGAGGGAGAGGATTGTTGGTAACTAAGACTAAAGGAGGAGGTAAGTTTGGTTTTGATCAAAGGGACGTGCTGCTGTGATGCTGATTCAGTTCATTGATCATCCCCAACTCAGTGAATGGCTTGTGATTTCATAATTCGTGTTTAAAGACAGAACAATGCATCAGAGGCCTTGCAGTAAATGGCTCCTTTAGGATCTGCTACCAAAGCATGTTCATTATTCTCCTCCCTTTAAGCAATCATTGGGAAATCCAGCAAAAGAAACAATAATTTAAAACTGGAACAAAAGATCTTGGGAACTTTCTATAAAAGCAGGCAGGGAGGGAGGTATTTTGGAGGCACAAAACCATTGTGCTTTGCACTGCTGTCTGCTCTACCCTGACCCTCTGGGAAATACACACATTGAGGTTGGCTTTATCTAACTTGACATCTTCCTAGTTTGTCTAGTAAGCATGATGCCTGCATGATAAGATCTCTTACAAGCAATTTCTTGAAAACAGCAGTGACATCCCCTGCTCATACCTGGACAGATGTCTCTTCATGGCTCATTGTTCAGGACGTGCAGCTTAGCTCTGTGTTTCACTGGCTCAAAAAGGGGGAGCTTGTGGGCAGTGGTGGCAGGATCTATTTAAAGATGTTTCCACTATGGGACTATTTAGAAATGCTTGAAGAACAGAGAGGCAGAGGGAGTTTCCAGAGGTCTGCAGAGGTTTTTCAAGCCTCAGGTGAGGGAGGTTCTAGAGGTGGCAGTGGAACTGGGGGACGACCCAGCTCTGGTGCCACAGGGCTGTGATGTTTCCTTCTGGACTTCCCTGACTTTGTTCTGTGCCTGTGCCTTGCTGCTAGAGCTTCCCTAATCCCCTTGTCCTCGTTGTCTGACTTCCTCATCTTTCATTTAGTCTGGTGTGTGTTGCCAGCTTGATTCTCTCTGCTTCCATTGTCTGGTTCTTCATGTTCTCTGATCTTTTACTGTTTGTTGTGATTTTTCTCTAGCTCAGTGATTAGTAGGGATTGCATAGTTGTTCTGCTGTGGAAGGCAGAGAGCAAACAGGCTGGTTTTCTCCTTGCCCAGCCATCTCTTCAGGAGTGGAAAAGGTTGTGACTGAGGATGCCCCTGCTGAAGGTGCAGCATCTCAGGGTTGAAGGCACCACTGGCTTCTCTTCCCAGTGGTGGTGCAGGTGATTCTGCACCATCTCATGTTGGTTGTGCAGTCTGGGCTCCCAGGTTCTGAGCTGCAGGGTGGGAATGGCTCCTTGGCAGAGACAGTTTGTGCTCCTGAACACCCATCAGGGGCTGGCGTGTGGTGCAGCACGTGTGGGAAACCCACAGCAGCAGCACAGCTGGAGAGAGACGTGACTGGGCTGGCCCAAGGACCTGCTGTTAAGTGGATGATCTGGAAAAAGAAACAGGGGCAGCCACTGCAGGATGAGTGGGAATGAGAAATTGTCAGCTTTTGCTTGTTGGGTTGGAAGAACAGCAAATTTCATTTCCATTTAAATATAATAACTTGATCTGTGTGCAATCTTCTTCTTAAGAGATTCTTTTACTAAATAGAAGCAGTTCTTCAGAAGCTCCATTGCAGAACATACTATTTAGAAAATATTTAAATTAAGTGCTTTCATGCTTTCAGCTTCCTTAAATTTGTTTTTCTTTTTCCTGTTGAACTGTCCCCTGAATTCAACATGATTTCACCATTAGCCTTGTTCACCCTCAGACTGTGGGATTCTTTTTTTTTTCTTTTTTCCTTTTTTGACTAAATGATTCTTCTGAAAAACCCTCCCCAGCTGTTGTAGAGTCTTGTCTTTCATGCCAACTGCAGAGACTTCCAAAGCAGAGACAGCTGTAAGGAACCTAAGCTGGAGTTTCACTAGGATGTGAATCTTGACAGCCTCATCTTGTGAAAAATATTCCTGAAGATTTAAAGACCAAGAATGACCAATGGTTCCATTTATTGCTTCCCCTGAAAGATGTGTGAAGCTAATATTAGGCACATGCCTTGACTACAATGTGGAATTAATTACAGTCACTGGTGCTGCACACCTGATGAATACATAGCAAGCTGACATTTCAAATAAATTGGGCAAGCCTTTTACAGTAAGAGGGAAATTGCTATAAATTCTACATCATTTCCTCAATAATGCTAATAGCAGTTCCTGAGGAATAGTAGATTTTTTTTTTTTAAGTTTACTAATGTAGATATAAAATTACATTACTATTTGTAAACCATTGCCTCTTGGCTGCCTGGTTATCTCCAGGGAATGACAAATAGAAAGGGATCTAAGGAAAGATCCTGGAACCTGCTCTGTGTCTCAGGGGACTGGAGAGTGATGCCATAAAGCACTGAGGCTCTCAAGGCTTCCCTGGTCCTTCTTCCTGAGCCACTCCAGTGTCTGTAAAACATGAAGCCAGGAACCAGGGCCTGAGAATCTTGCATGAAACTTCCTGCTCTGACGTTGGGTGTTGCAGCTTCTGCTGGGACTGGGGGGTGCTGGTGGGTGGCTGGGACAGGATGGGCCAGAGGAGCAGGGTGGTGCAGTGTGTCACCTGCACCCACCCCCCAGCCTGGGTGCTGTGCTCTGGGTGTGGGCAGGAGAACAACAGACAGGGAGAAAAGAGGACAGATAATGCTGAGAGGAGAAGATGAAGCCCAGAAAGGACCAGTGAGTGGTTGAGTTCCTGGAACACTGCAGACTGGAAATGGCTTTTCTGTCCCCAAGGAAAATAACTGCTCTTTCCTTAGTCTGCTGACCAGATGATTTCAGTCTGTAGAAGGCACAGGGGTGTCTCCTGAGCCTCATCCTGCTGTGGCTGGGACAGGGTTGTCCAGTGGATTCTCAGTAGGAACAGGAAGGAGATGGATTCTTTAACTTTTGTCCCTGCTGTGTTGATGTCCTCAAGCCCCAGTTCTGCACTGAGCCTCAGTGTCTCCCACTTGGGACTGTTTTCATTCATGGTGTTTGAGTTCCAACAATGGAAGTGCTATGTGAACAAAAGGGATGCAATCATGTTGGATACATTTTTAGGAATCCTCATCTCTGTAATTTTTAGAGTGTTGACCTTATTGTCTTTTCCAAAGCCAAGTTCAGTGAGGAGCCCCTGGAAAGAGTCCCAGGGCATTCAGGACTCTGGGCTGTGCTGCTGCAGAGCAGTGCTGTGCAATGCAGCAAGATTTAACAGTAGGTGAAGATTTTCCTTCCTAAGACATCATGTTTGATTACAGCTGCAACAAATTTGATAGCTGCAAACACTAAGTGCCTGATTGAAAAGAAACAATTATGCCTAGAAGAACACTGCTTATTTTAAGAAATTAGAAGCTTGTAAATACAGAGGGAAGCAGCCCCAAGTAAATGGTGCTGCTTTCCTTCATAATAAATGCCCTCTTCTTAAACACAAATATCTCATTCTTTAGAGGGCTGTTTGTGGAGTTGTGTAGTCATATTTAGAAAATACAATTTAAAAAGGGTTCCTGCCCTTCTCTGACCATTCCTC